AAAGCTGAACACAGGAGTTCCATACACAGTTATGTCCAAACAAACCAACATTCTTTATGTGTTGTAAGCTTTTTTCTTAAAAAGCTAAAAAATCCAAAACATAAGGTTTATTTTAACTCGTATTATAATTAGAAATTGAATAATGATTGTTGGATTACAATTACTGATTACTTAGACAAAGTTATTGCCTCACAATTAATTCGAATTAAATGATTTAAAGTTCATATAATTATTTTAGAAGTAGAATTCGATATATGTATATTGTTGATATTTTAATGTTTATTGTTTCATTGAAGCAAGTATATGGCAACTGTTCCAATTATCTTCTATTAGGGGGGAAATATAATTCGGGATCCCGATGAAGGTGTGTCATATGATGCTGAGCCGAAAGGGATATATGGGGTGCAACTTGGCATCACACTTAGCAATTTGGAGGAGATGTTTATGTCAAAGGTGGCAAGTTACGGGGAAACAGTTCGATTGATCTTCAAATGTAGATATCCTTATCTCCAGTGGCAAGCAACCAGCAAATACAAAATATTACCGATCAATGACGATGAGGCGTTGAACACCGTATTAAGTATCGGTGGAAGTTTCCAACCACCAAATTGTTTGCAAGTGTACATTGATAAAGAGGTTTTACACAATCTCCTGAATATGACACAGATGGATTCTCATCCGTTCACTACATTGCTGACACGTGGGATTGACACGACAGTGTTTCAGTCTCCTATGTATGAATCAAATGAATGTTATGCAGCGGGCTACACACAACAGACATTTCATGGCCATGGTGGAGAATCAAGTTCACGTGGTAGATATGAGACTGAATTTCACAATTACACCGAAGATGTGCCCACCTACAGCCATCATACCACTCCAGTTGAAGTTGCTGGTAATATGGCTGAAACGGTTAATTCTGTGCAGTTTGCTGACAGTGACATGTACGGTCCTGATGTCGCCCTAGACAATGATGAGAATGAAATGTGTGATGAAGAAAATTTATTGGGCGGATCAGATGATGATGATGATGAAGAAGATGATGTCGACGCTCCCGTTGATATTCAGAATGCCCCCATTCCACCTAGACCTGAAATCCCTTTCTTTGAAAACATTCACATGGGTGGTGATTTTGACATTAGTAACCGCGATGTCGTTCCCCGTAACCGAATCTGGAATGCTGAAAATCCAAAGTTGGACAAAAGGATGATTTTCGTTGATAAGAAGCAACTCGTACATGCTGTGAAATTGTACCATGCAACAAATAATCGAGAGTATAAAGTCGTAACCTCCAAGCGAGACGTTTGGGTGTGTGCTTGTAAGCACGATTGCAGATGGTGGTTGCGTGCATCTCTTAGTAGGATACATGGTCTTTTTGAAATAAAGCAGTATAGGGGTCCTCACCATTGTTTATATCCACGACTGAACAGGGACCACACTAATATTAGCTCCAGTTACATTGCTTCTCATCTTTTGGGACAAGTTGCGGTGAGTATACAAAATAAATGTTTACATATATATACATATTTGTTTGTTTATAGTGTTCACACCAAAATAATCTGACTCATAGGTATTGTCGTATGCAGAATGAACCCGATATGCCAATTAAGAATGTCATCGAAGATATCAAAAAGACCATGAACTATAGTATATCATACAAGAAGGCATGGCATGCAAGGGCAAAGGCAATTAGAATGGTATTCGGGGATTAGGATGAATCATATAGGATGTTGCCTAAATTCATGCATGCATTACAAACATCTAATCCTGGCACCATCGTGCAATGGAAGCATAGATATACCGGAGGTACAACCATTATGCCCGTCTTCCACTTTGTTTTCTGGTCTTTCAAACCTGTTATCGATGGATTCCGACATTGTAGGCCTGTTATAACCATAGATGGTACATTCTTATATGGGAAATACACTGGTGTGTTGCTTGTAGCAACGCTTGTCATTGCTAATGGCAAAGTATTACCGCTTGCATTCGCTGTTGTCGATAGGGAGAGTTTGGAGTCCTGGTCATTCTTCATTTCAAATATCAAGGAACATATTGTCATGGACCGACAGGAGTGACTTTCATATCTGATTGAGCTGATAGTATTTTAGCTGCTGTGAGGCGGCATTGGCTGAATCCCTCGCTCCAATTTGTTGGATATCATCGGCACTGCCTTCGACATGTTTGTAGTAGCTTTAACACTAGGTTCAAAAATAAGAAGCTGAAACAACTTCTATGGAAAGCAAGGAGTGCTCATCAATGATGAAAGTGTAATGGTTACTTACAACAGATACATGCTATTGACCAAGATGCCATCAATTAGGTTCACAAGATGAATCCTATGGAGTGAGCCCTTTCGTATGATGGTGGATATTGGTGGGGGGTATTGACCAGCAATGATGCAGAGTGCTTCAATAGCATCTTAAAAGGTGCAAGGAACTTACCTATCTCAGCTATGGTTGAATTTACATTTCGGCGGCTCGTAAAATATTTTGACGAGATGGTAGCCCAAGCTGAAATAGATGTACGAAATGAGTTCCAATACCCTAGAGAGATGCAAAAAACTATTGAGGATGGCATCGCAAGGGCAAATACTTTCAAGTTGATATCGTATGACAGGTTAGTTTGTAATATAAACTAAATTGTTGTTATTATGTTGTGAAGTTAAGTACACCTAAAAACATGAACTTGATTAGTTTATATTACAATTTTCTGATACGCCACGCCACATATTTGAGGTGCAAACATCTTTTCGCCATGGACGAGGTCGCAATGCACAAATTGTGCAGATGAATCAACCCACGTGCAGTTGTGGGAAATATGAGATACGACACTATCCATGTTCTCATATGCTCGCTGTAATGTCTGAATGCGGTGACAATCCATTCGAGTACGTTGATCTAGTATATAGGCTTCCTGTATACATGAGGGTTTGGGAAACTAAATTCAATCCAATACCGCATCAAGATTATTGGGCTGATCCGCAGTGAACCTTAATGCCTAAATGTACTTCGTCTACGAGAAGTAAAACGGGGTCGTACATCTATGTCTCGTATTCCGAATGAGATGGATATATCAAATAGGCGTTTGACCGCTCGTTGCAGTGAGTGCCAGCAGACAGGTCATGACAGGCGAACATGGCCGGCGCGACTTGGTCGATGAAGACTATGTAATACTTACATATTGTAATAGATCATTTTTTAATTCTTTATTTGTAATAGATCATTTAATTCTTTATTTTGTAATTCATTATTTGTAAATGGAGTCGTACATTTAAATAGATCATTTTTTATTTGTAATAGATCATTTCTATTTTTTAATTCTTTATATATTGTAATTGTTTGATTTCCTTGACAAAATTTACAATTAACACACTAAACAAATAAATTAAACTAAATGACAATGTAAAAACATTTAACTATACCATATAGGCCTATGTTTTTTATTCTCTACTTGATTGAAAATGTCTATTACAAAATTTTAGTGAAAATCACATAGTTCTTCTATCATTTTAAGATTTTAATATTTCGACTACTGCAAGCATTTTTTACATTTGCAATTTATGAATCAAATCTACGTAATTTACAAATTTTATACTTTATTGAAACTTTTACCATTACAAAATCAATAATGAAGTTTTGTCAAATATGCCTACAATTATGTAATTAGCAACCTCTTATTGAAAAAAAAAATTCTCATTCAATTTTTTCGCAAATATTTATGTACGAAAACTATCCACATGTTACTGGTCATTATTAAGCTTATGTAACTAAGACCCTAAAATGATTTTGTAAAAGATTTCTATATTAGTTATAGCATAGATAACGATAGGTTCTGTTGAATTGCTTATCATATTTAATGGCACATAAATTGATAAATTTAGATTTTAGTGAATTGCTTCCATGTTAGTGGCACACAAATTGATAATTTTAAAATAATCAACCACATTTGTTTTTCAAGTCGTCATGTATGGAATAATTTGAGTTTAATTGTTATAGTTAAATTACATGCTCACCAATACAATTTTTTTAAATGTATTTGTTTTTCAACTGTACAGGCTTCATGGCACATCTACCTGATGAGGTCCCACTTTTTAGTCATCTACATCGGGCTGACAATATATGGGAGGACCTGATATGCAATAACGTTTGTTGGACTTTACACTTACAATGAAAATACCCTGCATTTTGTTTTATATTACGTGATAATGTTATAATTTAAACTACTCATTCTGTTATGCAGGAGGAGGCACGCACCGTGGTGACATGCCGGCGGGGAGATTCCGGCCTGTGGGAGCGTCCATTGGACCATAGAGTCTTGCAGTGTCTACTACGCGCGAGATTCTATGGTGTCTATCGTATAGGCCATATTAGACTGGACCACCCACTCATCACTGCTCTCATCGAGAGGTGGCGCACAAAGACTCAACATTTCATTTCCCGACCGGGGAGGCCACCGTCATATTGCAGGACGTATCTGTCCTATATGGTCTACGGATTGATGGGCGAGCAGTTACTGGACCTGACCCACCATTGGCGAGGGACCAGTGGATCACCCTATGTGCTGAGCTATTGGGAGTAGCACCTACACCTGCAGACTTACAGGCAGGTAGAGTGAGGGTGAGGTGGCTGTCCGACCAATTTCAGGGCCATCTTCCAGATCATGCTCCAGATGAGTTAGTACAGCAGCATGCCCGAGCATATATTCTGTGGCTTATTGGGGGGTACTTCTCCCTGATAAGTCACAGAACCTGCCCAAGCTGATGTACTTGCCACTGTTGAGAGACATTGACGTTATCGGCCAGTATAGCTAGGGCGTCGCGGCTTTGGCATGCTTGTATAGGATGCTATGTCGAGCAGCTCAGGTGGGTGCGAACGAGATCGGAGGACCCCTTGTCTTGCTACAGGTTAGTAAGAATTTTATTACATGTCAATTCATATTGTATGACATATATCAGTATTGTAATTGCGTTCAAACTATTGCAGATTTGGGCGTGGGAGAGATTGATTCGCATTGCCCCGTCTTGGCAGCAACTGGTTGCTCCTGGTGAGGTTCCCATCGGCCAGGGAGATATGTAGTTGCCAGGTGGATCTCGAGGTAGCCGGTGGAGGGTTGACATGGGCCACGAGGTCGTATCGACCCACGTAGTCGTCGTGTATAGAGACCAGCTTGACCGGATGATAAAGGGCGAGGTATGAAATTTAAATACCTAAATTTTAATTGTCATATGGAGTGTATATGTTCATGAGCGATTTTTAATAGACTTGTCGTTTTTGTAGTTTATCTGGCAGCCTTATGTTGGGGTCCTGCCGACGCTCCCAGATTATTGCCGACTAGGTAAGGAGATATGGATGGCGAGAATACCGCTCATTTGTTTTGACGTGGTTGAGTGGCATCTTCCTGATCGTGTCCTTCGACAGTTTGGTCGGGTCCAATCTGTGCTGGATCGGTGCGACACCGAGTGGCGGTTGCATGCGACTGATAGATGTGGTCGAGTTGGCACTGACTGGAGTGTGCATCATATACGATACATACAGTTGTGGGATGCCCGTCGCGACAGTATTGTACAGGCTGACTGGAGCGATGGGGTCCTCCCCTCTCCCGACCCTTACATATTGTGGTATCGGCGACATACACACCTACTAGTTGGTAATCCGAGCCACCTGTCTGAGTTCGGATATCAGGGAGTTGGGCCTTCTCTCGAGGCATTGGTGAGTATCATAGTATGTGTCAGATAATTGTTAATATCATAATTGATTTACTTTCAGTCAACTATAGCCTAATATGTCTGATTTTTTGTTCAGGTGGTTCGAGCTAGGAGGTCATATCACTTGGCTAAGGACGCCCTTTTTAGACGTGATGGACAGCTTGGTCTACAGGCCCTTGCAGAGATCCGAGAGTTATTGTACGAGGGGATCCAGCATGCTCATCGGGTAGATCGTCTGTATTTTGGGGACTACGGTATACACAGTGCAGCAGTTGCTCCAGACACATCAGTCCCGTCAACGTCAGTGCCTTCCACTTCAGCGCCAGCCACATCAGGTCCTCGGACTTCAGTCACCTCACTGCATGATACCCCATACATTTCTCCAGATTCCCCATACGTACATCCTACCCAGCATGCTGACCCTGGTTGGACACCGCCCCGGTACATGCATGCTGTTGTTACCCCACCCACCCAGTTACCACCTGCTTTTCTAGGGACTACTTCGATCGCGCCCATGAGTACACATGATGCAGTTCTCATTGACATCTCCCATGTTGAGGATGAGGCCCATATTGAGCTCCCCCCCAGAGCGCGAGGGAGAGGCCGAGGTTATGGTCATGGGGGACGTCGCGGCCGAGGTCGGGGTGCAGGCAGAGGCAGAGGTCGAGGTCCAGCTGCAGATCGTGATACAGTTGCACCAGATGAGGGAGTTTCACAGCTCACAGCAGTATCTGATCTTCAAGCAGAGACGGGATCAGGGGCAGTAGATACAGGAGAAGAGGGGTCACACTCACAGGTTCCACAGGCAGTCAGTGGAGGGCCACATGTAGGGGAAGGAGTGCCAGATATTCAAAGAGTCTACCGCAGGAGAACGAGGAGGGAAGTCCACGGTCGGGGTTGTGGGACTGGGGGCAGGTTAGGGCATTAGTGGGTGTGATATGGACTGTATAGTTTTTTTTTATTTGTAGTAATTGATATAGTTTTTGTAAATCAAACTTATACAGATAATGTAAATGTGTCATACTTATTTATTCGAAATTATAATTTCACAATTTTTTATTCTTACTTATTTTGATGAATCACACAAATCTCTTTCACATCTCTACCTCTCTCTCATTCTCCGTAGTCTCTGCATTATTTATAGTAATTTACGTTTTTTCCTCAAATTTACAAATTGAGACAATCATTTATAAACCAAAAAAATTATCGAACAAATTGAGACATCAATTTATAAAATTGAAGTTCAAATAAATTTTAAGAATTAAACTATAAATCCTAAACCCTAAAATAAAAATAAATAAGGTAGCGTTTGGTAACGTTTACGTTTTTGGTTTATGTTTACAAAAAAATTAAAAACTGGTTTTTGTTTATTTTTAGAAAAACATAAATTATAAATGCGTTTGGTTTGAACAAAATGTTTAAAAACCCATGAAAACATAAAATAAAAAATATGTTTGTTCAGGCCTAAAATATTTATATTTATTTTTATTATTTATAACAATGGAATCACACAAATTATAATTGAAAACAAAAATAATTGAAAAAAATTTAATTGAAAAATATTTAATTGAAATAAAAGATTAATTGAAAAAAAAAATTAATAGAAAAAAAAATTATTTGAAAAAAAAATTATTTGAATTTTTTTTTTGAAAATATTGGTCTTAATTTCATATAGTTGATTATTATTTGCTATTATAAATTTTATTATATATATTTAATATTGGTCTTCATTTTATAAAATAAAATTTATATATATTAAAAATTATATTGGTTTGGTGTGTGTGTGTGTGGGGTTTGGTGTGTGTGTGTGGGATGAGTGTGTATGTGTCAGAGAGAGAGAGAAGAGAAGAGTGAGTGCGTAGAGTGAGTGCATGGGGTGGCTGGTATTGAAAACATTCTTCAAAATAACAATAATGGAGAGAAAGCAAAGGTATTTGTTATTTGTAGAATTACAAGCACTCTTCAAAAACAATTGAAATATCTCCCTTCATTGATAAGTCGTGGATAAGCATTACAAATCCATTACAACATAAATGGTTTGGTCATTCATCCAAACAATTTCATTCATTATCATCATCATCTGACATCTCAATATCAGATTCATACATAACATCCATGCTCCAGGCGAAGTATTGGTGTCCATCATCCATTAACCCATCTTCAGCACGCTCATTTGCGGTCTTCATTAGTGAGGACCTTTGCAAACATTGGGTCATGCGATTAACTTCGTCGCGGATACGATGCAATGCCCTTTGCAACAATTGTGGAGTGTCAGTTCGCATACGCATGGCTAACCAGCGAGGAAATTTAATATTAACTTCATGGCATAACTCAACGAGAACATTTGCTCGAGTTATGCGAAATTCCCACTTAGCTCTCATGGTATTGACAGTGGCACGTGAGTAACACAAATTTGGATTTAATAGGTATTGAAATTCATCTCCATCTGCAACCCAATAGCGACCCATTGCTGAATATAGATCAACCACCGTATATCTCATGATGATATCGCTCGAAATAGCTGTAAAACTTTTGTTGTGGTATGATGCGATATTTATACCATATATACACATGGTAGCTGCATGTATGAAATTATTGTAAACAACTATGCATCAGAGTTATCACGTCAACTTTGATGACCTGAACAACTATGCATCAACTTCATAGGAGTTGTCACTTCGATTTTTATTTACTACTCAGTGCATATCTGAAGGTTTTAAGCAAAGTTCAAATCCGCTTGAAAATTTAATTTAATTTAATTTTTTCGCTTACAAATATAATTCAATTTATTTTGCCTTGATAACATATTTAATTTCATTTTTTACCTTACATATTTCTTTTAATTTAATTGGAGAAATTTGACCAATTTAATTTGAAGTTAACTATGTGTTGATTTAAGTTAATTTGGGGTTGCATATGGTGGCTTTTTAAACACAAAAGGTCTAATTGTTTTGTTATTTTGTTCTGACACCCCCTCAAAATTTTTATGAATTGCATAATTCACATGGGCACAGTAGGTATGGTACGATAATAAATTGTAGCTCGACGCAGTGATACGTCCAACATTTCTCAGTGATGCTCGCTAGTGACTTGAACAGACGTAATAATTTGAATGCTTTGTTTTTTCCTCAGATGCTATGTGACTTTGTGCAGTGATGCATGTGACTTTGTGCAGTGATACAGTGATGCATGTGACTTTGTGCAGTGATGCAGTGATACATGTCACTTTATGCAGTGATGCAGTAATGCATGTGACTTTTTGACTTTGCCATGCTTGTATACGTTGTGACTTTTTCCCTCACATTACGTGATGCATGTGACTTTATGCAGCGCAACTTACATGCTTTGTTTTTTTCTCACATTTCAGAATTCATCTAAGTCACATTAATACGACCACATGGCAATAGTGTTGATAAACAATTATGTGATGGACTGAAGGAGTGAAGTGTAATTTACTGAATATAAAAAGAAGCAGAAAATGCAAAAAGGAGAAAATGAGATGACTGTGAAGTTCATTAAATGAAAATAAGATAAACTATAGGCTGCAAAGTTCTAATCGTGTTTACATATCAGGTGACCATTTTATAATTTTGGTGAAAAAAACAACGATAGTTTTGCAGGTCGAAGTGAGTTGGACGGTTGTGTATTTACTTGTACTCTGTTTCATAGTTGTTTATGAGCAATATTACTTTAAAACAAAGAAAATTAAAGCCGCTGTTTCATTTTATGATTTCATTTATAATTTTTTGAAAACACTAATTTGTACTGAAATTGTCAATTCCAAGTGACTACTTACTGTATTAAAAAAGTAAGCATGAAAAAATAATTTCATGTGGCGATGTGGCAACTCACTGCATTTTGTTTTATTTGACAACTCACTGCTCGAATATGAAGGGATTGCATTGTGATCCTCTGGCCTACAATTATGATTTTATCTGACAACCACGTCCGTGATTACATCACAGGTACACAAAGTCACGGGTACTCAAGATTGCATAAAATAAATAATATAAAATAATATCACGGGTATCACTTCTTCCATAGTGCCCCAGCATGCATTATCGTCACTAGATTATCTATAGTTAACCCCCACTATGATGTCTATAAATAGCGATACCCCCAGTATGATGTTTGTTCAAGTCATAACAATAGTAATATATCTACAATTACTATTATTATTTTGAAGACACCCCATTTTTGACCGTCCTCAAGACTTGGACGTCACCACTTGAACACTCGGTGATCATCCATGTTTGTGTTCGTCTTGAGTTCCTGGAGGTCTCGGCTACGCGCCTTGCCTCAGGATCTCTCGACTCGACTGTTTTGTGTCTGGTTTTGCACCAAACACTTGTGCTTTGCCTTGGAGGGACAGGGAATGGCTTGTGGGCCATCCCCACACTCCACCGGCCATGGCTTGAGGCCACCGGCTGTGTTTTGTTGCCACTGGCCAAATGCTTGGCCGGCCGGCACTATAGATGGCCGGCCGGCTATCTTTTTTTGGTCAATTGCATTTTTGACCGGCAGACTACTGTGCATCTGCTTTTGTAGATATTTTTGTGCAGCTGGCATACACTGTCACCCCCTCCATACACGTGTATGGAGGGATTGCCCTCTTGTTAGCTTCCTTTGGAAGCTTTACAAGACTAATCCTCTATAAGAGGAGGCCCCTTCTTTCTTGTTCTAGGGTTAGACAATTTAGACAACATTTTTCAGAGCTTGAGCTTTAGGGTTAGGGTTTACATATATCCTCTATCTCTATATCTCTCTCTCTTGAGCTTAGTGTGTGTGTTTAGTCTCATTTTTGTGCACAAACACCCACCATCACACCTTTTCTTAGTTGCTGAGGTACCAGAGGTCTTTCCTTGAAGCTTTTGGACTGGTTTGGAACCAAAAGAGTTGCTGGAACATTGTTTGTGAAGAGGGTCTACAATGGTAAGACTTTTGTCCATTTTTACCCCATTTTTGTAAAGCTTTTTAGCCTATCTTGCATCTATTTTTGAGGTTATCATATAACATATAAAAGCCTTGTTTTTGTCTGCTCTAAATAGTTTGTTAAGGGTGTTTTAAGCTTTGGGGTTGTTTGACCCCTCTTAAGGCTTGTTTGGCCTTTGTTTTGTGCCATTTTGGTTGAGCTCCGGGACCATTGTGTTTGGGCCTCCTCACCACTGAAATCTTGAGGGATTTCAGAGGTGAGGATGGTGCCTTGAGGTCCCAAGAAGGAGAGGGCCACCCCCATCTCCTTGTTGTCCTTGAAAAGGGCCATTTTTGCCTCTTGAGGGAGCATCTAGTTTAAGTGTGTGTTGACCATGCCTTGACTGATATTTATGCTTATTTTGCCATGAAATAGCATTGTGTTGAGTTGGTTTTGGCACACCATGCTTGCTTAGCATACATGCCTTGTAATGCCATGATTTGCCTCAATACATGCATAGCATTTTAGACTACCATGCTCATGTGTTTTGGCTAAGCTTTGTGAAGCTTATATGCATATTTTGATGTGCTAAGGGACTGTTTTAGTCATTTTGAGTCATTCATGTCTTGCTTTGTATAGCTACCATGCAATCCCTCTTGAATGCCTTAAGCTTTGGCCTCTCTAGCATGCCATCCTTGTTTTGTTTCAGTGATTTGGAATCACTTGGTATGTTATTTCAGACCTCATGATGTGCTTATATGCTTGCATTTTCCATCCCTTTCATGCTTTGAGAGTTGATGGCTTATGCTCCATGTTTAGGCCCTTGTTGATGCATATTTGTGTGTGTATTTTCATGCCTTTTTATCTGTTTGGGCCCCATTCCATTTTGGCCACCTTGTTTAGGCTTGTTTGAGGGCTGCCTAAATTAGTTTAAGCCCACCCCTTTGCATATTGTTGTATGCCCACCTTGTATGTTGTTGCATATTTGTGTGTTGTTGCATGATTGGAGTTGTA